GGTGTTGATGAGAACTGGCGGCAGGTTCTTCAGGTGTTCTGGTCTGGTCCTGTTTGGACCGGGTGTTGTTATGTTCTTCACCGACGATACAGCATGTCGGATTTCGGAAAGGAGGACCGGTGGAATAACATATTCGTCCTCTTTCAATTTATATGACGGTAAGAGGACATGGCTAGCGAAGAGATCCGAGTAGTATTGGTGGATGATTTTCTCCATAGCCCTTCTTGAAGCTGTAAGTGTCCCGTCAGGGTATCGGAGTGCAGCCATTTTGGTCTTTTAGTTAGCAAAGCCTCGCTGGGCTTTGCGAATGCTTTTCCCAGCTTCTGCAGCTTCTGTCGTAACAGCTGCTCTTCTCTCTCTGAAGTTTTCTTCTATCGCTTCGCTGCAGCGTTTCGGCAAGTTCGGACGTAAGATTTTGGTTGCCTGCAGCTCGTGCGATTCCACGTTGACGTATCAGCTCAAGTGTCTGCGGAGACAAGCGTCCCTTCGTGACCTTAGGACTCTCGGCTCTTTTGTTACAGTTTTTGATTTCGCTGAGGACATGATGCAGTTTAGGTAGATGGGTCTATACAATGAGCTTTGTTCAGGTGCTCCATTTATATAGTCCTATTACTATAATTCATATGACTTACTTGGAGTGACATCCTTGAATTGTGTACTGAATCGTAGAGCTATAGTGGAATTTGGGACAACGTGAACTTAGAAGTAGAAGGGAAATACTTGTTGATATCTTTAGCTGGCTCTTTGAACCTCTGCCGTTTCCAGTTGGTCTTTTTTTTACTACCAAAAGTAAATTCTCACCGCTTTGAGATTCATGTCGTAAATAACGGACACAATAAGCAGTCGATGATTTGCTTGAATTCCTTGTTTTGCGTAGTAGAGAGTGATCGAGACACTGGTGACTACCAAGCAATTAGCAGTTGTTGCTCTCTGTAGTTTAACTACTACGTTTTTGAATTGAGCTCCGTCATAGTCATGATTTCTCCCCACTCTTACTTGATAGGCCGTCATTGAAATTACAACTAGTTCTCGAGAATATTCGCTATCTTGTTATTTTGCAATTTATGATCACGAGCTGTTTTCATCTAATATAAATGGTTTTTGGAAGAAATTTAACGGGTAGGTTTGAAGCAGGAATACGATTAGTTCTGTGCCCTTGAACCAAGCAAACATTCCTGCTACTCGACACCTACAAACTGCTATAATGATTCTTGAGAGCGGAATTAGTGTAAAGGACAACTGTTAAATCCCTGAAGGGAATTTGAAACGCACTCCACTGACCCTTAGGTGAGTTCTATTCCTCACAATCACCATCGCGTCAGTAGCATTCGTTTCTTCGACGGGTGAGCTTCGAATCCATGTCGATACGAATTCCTCCATCAATTGCTCAATTTCTCGTTTCATCAGTGCAGTGTGAATACCTGAATAAATCTATCGACTCTTTCTGAGATGATTTTAATTGCCAAAGTTTTATTGCGCGAAAATTTCTCCAACTTTTGATTTTGTGACCAGTGTTTCCTATCTAATTAACGTATGTCGTCAATACTTGAAACATTGTATGTAGCGTTTTTCCTACCAAAACTCATTGATTTTGCGGTAGAATCTGCTTTCGATTTGAAATTGAAGAATTGAAGAAGATCAAGTTGAAGAGGCATGTCAGGAATTTTCCGATTCAAAGCTAGGAAATGGTATTTTGAGGAGATCAGGAAGCTTGTGGATCGTTAGCAGAAGATAGTGGATAATGATGGTCTACATTTCGAGGAATAATCATTGTTGTATTAATTGAATTTAATTATAAACTCTAAATATTCAGCAAATGTGAAAAAACTTCTACTTTAACCTAATAATGCGTTTTCATGTTAATAATGCACTATTGTGCGTCTCTGAAGAATTGCGCATCAAGTCAACTCTTGCTCGCGTGTTCAGAGTAAAAATCATATTTGGAAGTAACCCTCCCGGATTTGAAACATAATCGAAATTTTTTTAATTTATCAAGCCCTACAAATGTTTTGATGACTGACTACGCCCCTTGCTTTCTGGAAATGACAGTCACTGGTACAGCAAAAAATATTTAAAGAAAATAGTAACCGCATGACCGTTTACAATGAGGTACAATTCGATGGGAATACAAGAAGCTTGTTGTTAACAATCGATTTGTTAACATTTAGCTCTCTGAAGGCGCCGGAAGCAAATGAAGTGATTGGGAATACGGTGCTTGCACCTACCCGATATTAGAAATGCACGAACGCATGACAGCTACATTCATGCGATAAAACACTTAAGGCTCGAAAATGCTCGTTCGGCTACTGGCAGCAAATTCTCTTTCTCTTTCCACAGCCAAAAACTGCGAACATCCTATTATTACAGAGAAGTTTCATCCCATCGGAATGATGGTATATATGGTTTTCCGAAGTGTTCATTCAATTTTGGATTTACTTGTAAAAAAATTACTTTGGCGTTATAGGCTGCACGAAATTTAGTATGCTCAATGTGTTGGAGAACGATCTTCAGTTTTGGAAGAGTGGAAAAAATACGCTTATTGGCTTCGATGAACTAGAATCTGATATCGTTCAGAAGAGGAAACTCATATCCCGTAGGCAAAGGTCTGTATGCTTAAGAGGCTTTTCTTGCAATCAATAAATTCCAATGTGAACTAAAAACCTTGGCTCAAGGTTGAAAGCGTGCACTATCATGTATGTGAAGACATTGTTCTCAAGGAATGCAGTGCATATTGACTGTCAAGCTCGCATGGTAATGTTCCTAAGTATAAATTCAATTCCAGGATAGGCAATCGGTTGTTTTCAGATTACATGAAGAGTGGTTCCCCTTTCTGTTCATTAAATTTCCGGAGAATTTCCGACGAAGGTGCTACGTAGAAGATACGAACATCGGTTCAAATATGTCAACACGTGTAGCACTCTCCTACGAAATATATCACTCAGTGCCCAGCAATGTAGGGATCCAACCTAAGGCAGCACTATTGCTTCTCCCGGATAAGAAGAAGAAATGATGAAGCTGGAATATCTCTAAGACCATCTGTCGGTTAACCTCGGCATTGACTGAGTGATTCCTTAATTTTCTTTTGAAGCAAACACGACTTTGTTAGAACGACGATTTTTGCGCACGGCATAGACAGTACAATACAACTTCGTTTTTCCCAAATCAGAAATCATGGAAAGCTTTTAACAGTTTCAAAACTTCTTCGAGTGTGTCAATATGTTACTGCCAGTTTGCTACATCTATTGGGCTTAATAAAAATAGCGCCAGTTTTCAATTTGTATCATTGAAAGTCATTGAAAAGGCTGGAAAGGTCAAAGTTTTACAATCCAATCAGTCAAACACTTCCATCACTTCCTTAGAGAAAATTGTCACAATCTAGATTTCGATCACATCAAGCACAAGGTCAACCATTAACATATTCAACGGTTTTTTTTTATTATATGTCGCCCACTGAATGAACAGGTGAAGAACAATGGAACGGTAACCATGTAGGCCAGTAATGCATTATACCCATAGGTAATCACATAGGCTAGTAATGCACTATGGGTATAGTGCATTACTGGTCTATGTGATTACCGTTCCATTGTTCTTCAACCTGTTCATTCACTGGAAGACATATAATAAGAAAATAAAAAAAGCGGTGAGTATGTTGTGACTTTGTGCTTGATGCGATGGAAAATCTAGATCTAACAATTTTCTCTAAAGAAGTGATGGAAGTGTTGGACTGATTGGATTGTAAACAACTTTGACCTTTCCAGGCCCTGACGAAGGCGACCTGCCGAAACGTTAGCTGTTTGATTGTGTGAGTAGAGTTTGGATTTAACACCTCGTGCCCCGCTTTAGAAGAAAGAAAAAAATAAGAATTACTGAAGCATGCCGAGGTTAATAGACAGACGGTCTTGGAATTCATTAAAGAGGCTTATGGACGGTACTATTAATCGACTTCACAACCACTGAAGATTAATGTTGCTAGCTTTTTTGCCTATACTGGCACACATAACGTGCCGGAAAGTCAAGGATCACCGTGTTAGGAGACATAGATATCTTTGATGTGGTGCGCTTATTATAACAGTTAGGTTTCTCGTCAGTTGAACCTTTGCGTAGGATCATGTTTTCTACATGAGTCGTGAGATATACTTTGTAACACAGCTACGCTAGAGACATCAAATCAAACAACTATAGTACAAAATCGCCAAAGTCGAGATCGACTGGAAAGCATGAACGCGAGTAGTGGAATCGAACCAGTGGTCCTATGTGTTTCATAAGCACATTTGTCCAGGTTCGCTGCACTTCAGCCATTACCCTATAACCAGCACAAAAACATGATATACGGCACGTCCACGAGTTCATAGATTTGGATGCTACGATTTATTGATATGGCAAAAGTGTTGAACTAGAGGTGCTTCTTGTCAGTAAATTTCAAATAAAGGACTAACAACTTAAGATGCTTCGCTTTATCACCAATTATCTGAAAAAGATTCCATAAAGTCAGTACATGAGCCGTCTAAGTGATGGATCACAGTGCGAAGAGGACACAGTTAACTCGAGCAGCTCTATCTTATATGTATCAATCAAAAGTAGTGCTAGTTAGTATTTACCGAGTTCGTGCTTCTATCAATCTCACCAGCGTTCAAGAATAGGTCAATAGTCGACAGTGTACACGATCCCACAGAACAACGTGGTTCATAAACCTAATTAATCCACTTGCCAAAACCCATCCTAGCCCATCTCACGAACACCGAAATATCTATGGATCGTAAAGCCCAAGCAGTGCGTTAATGTTACGGTTCTCCAACATTACCGCCCTTAAATCAACTGTTTCGATTGGCTGTCATAGACGCTGCGTCTACGAGCTCCTCATGCAACGCGAATGAGCCGTAGACGTGTATGGCTATTCGACTGGACAGGTCATAGATTTCTCAGCGGAGTGCGTATGATACTCGGTATGTAAGTAGTCCGTGAAATATACGCAATCATGTAGAGTCCTCTGCAAAAACACTTGTGTCAGTCGAGGCTCGAACCCAGATCACTCTTTCCGGGAGCGTATGCTAACCATTGCACCACCTGACGCTCGTTTTGCACAGCACCCTTTTTACGCTACAACGCGCACCTGTCAACAGCCAACCGTCTACGGTCTGGCGAGGCGGCCGCTATCGGCATTAAACCCACTTGTACTGGCAGATATTGGGTATCAACTTCACCAACAAGACTTGAAAAGTCCGTGAAATAGTTCGCCACAAATAAGAAGGATGGCAATGGGGCAGGTGTGGCCGACAATCCTTGTAATTGCGTTCGTGTCTGTCGTGTCTAAAACTTAACCCTCGTATACTCAGTCCGCAACCCAATATATTGTAGATGTTCAAATGATCCTTTTGTTATTTGCATATGCACAAATGCCATAAGTTGTTGAACAACAGCCAGAACATATAGAAATCTCCGTGCTAACGCGTGTTAGTGATGGAGTATGAGGGTTTTGTTAATCTCACCTGAGAGTGCAAGCTGTTGTGGAATTCACCAAAAATCTCACCGGATGCTGGCGATCGCTCTGACACGGACCTGACTGGGGCACCGAGAGAAAGGAAGTAGTCTCTCCGTCTGTAAAGAAGCTAGTTTGGCAACATCAGAGTTAAGACATAAGCTCTGACATGCTCACAATAGTGACGTATGTCTTTATCGTACTTCATGCTCCATTTGAGCACTTTCTGTTGCTCACTTCAATAATGTTGTCTTTGACAAAATTTCTATTCAGATTCAAAATCTGTCTGGAAAATTTCATCAATAACAGTTGCTTTACTTTGAACTGCATTGAGTGGCGGCAATCTGTAGTTGGAATGGGCTATAAACCTTTATGTGCTTCAAACAATCGTGTACTGCTGTCCGTACATGTTTATCTCCGAGATATTAGCCTCATATCTACAGATTATGATCACGACGTCAGTTTAGTAGCCTGAAATCAGCCATTTGGAATCTGCCTTACATGTCACCTTAAAATTCTTTGACCATTTGGAAGGAGAACAATGTAACGATAAGCTCGAAAAGCCAGTCTGACGCGGCGTTTCTCGGGTCTCGCAGAAAACATGCGCTGGTTACGGTACACATTTAGATTGCACTCTGATTATACATGTCAACAATTACGTTGTCACGCTCTAGTGCCGAGTGCTGAAATTTTGAGATTAAGACTGAAAGCAACTTACCTTACGAGTTTACCGTACACTGCAGAAAATCCAGTGGAACTTCTCTAACAGCTGTAAAGAGCGACAGTCTATTTACGTGATCGATGTGCTACCGTTTGGCAAAATAGTACCTGTTTGTACATGTTTTAGTTAAATAATTTACAAACCGCAAATTTTTACCCTTAGTGACATAAATCGTATATCCACGCTCGTATCCACCGTCTTCGTTCATTACCAAGTCTGCAATCGGGCTTTTGAAAGCAATGTAGAATTCTTGAATGAGGTCGGTATAGTTCTCGTCAGTAACGGTAGTGTAGTCAATTGAATTGAGCTGAGCGTCCACAATGAGTGTTCCGTTCAGAGTGATGTCTGCTGAAATCTGAATTTCATTCAATCAAACAGACATGTTCTTAAATGTAGTTTCTTCAATACTATAATGGCAAACTTAAGAAAAAACATACTTTGTTGATAACATTTTCGCAACGATTTTGCCTCCACTGCGTTGAAAGTAACCCGGAATTCCACCGAAAACCCGTCTCGGCAGTTGTGTTACCGAAAGTCTGGAACAAATCCACGTAGAAGAAGCATAGCCCAGTTCCTGTCCGCAGTATGTAGAAAACGCTACTAAACTTCATAGACATGCATAGTTGACCATTAGCGTACACCTTCAAAACTCAACCAATTCTGAAACGTGCAGGAGAGCAAATTAAGCGTATTGTGTTAAGTCGAACAAACCAATGTGTTAGCAGCACACATACACTCACCGAAAATCATTCACACCTACCCTACTCATTTATTTGGAAACACGGAAACATTTAATTGGAAATGACTGTGATTTCGTGAATAAAATTACGTTCCATATTGTCTCCATAAGAAAAATGTGGTCTGTTTCATTTAGTGATTCCCCACTCTTCTTCCAGAACAAAAAGCCTTCCAGTATGCATGAATTTCGAGTTCAAGCGATTGAAATTGCGAACAAATAGCGAAAAAGTACCGATTCTGATTTCAATAATGGGACTAAAAGATGAAATATTACTGAAGAGATCTTCATAAAGATAATCCTAATAAGAATAGCAAGAATAGCACTTACGTGTTTTTGAAAGAAAACAGCAGTTTCCAACGGTGAAGCCACATCCTTGCGAAAGGACGTATTTCCAAACGTTATCAAAAGATTCATCTAGCGCTTTTTATCAATTTATAATTATACCTAATTCGAATGATTGAAGGATGAAGCCCTTGGCGTTGATCAATCCGTGAGGGATGTGCTATGCAATCGCCGTCATCTAACATCGCTTGAGATGACTAAATGCATGTCTGGCCTTTATAACGACTCGCGGTGGCCTACCAATGTATTAAGTCAGTGTTGCTATCCTCCCAGACAAGCTGATCCTACGTGTTCTTCGCACTTTTGCTTGAATTTTCTCAGGGTAATATACTGTACCTCGTCTAGTTTCCACCTCTCCACTCACTTCAGCGTAACATATAGGTGGTTTCGAGGTCTATTGTACAGCAATGGCCTCCTAGTCCATTCGCTTGTCTCTGATTGATATCCACTTCCTTTTATACAACATATAAAAAAAATAATTTCTCTTCTGCATAGTCAATTTCACTGTGAATAGATTAGATTTAATTACAGTTGGAGTATGCTAGAAGGTACGGATACTTATGTTTTACGGAAGGAAACTGTGCCAGATACCACAACCGTATTTTGAGAAAATTCGTACGTAACGAGATTTTTCGTTTGTTCATTATTTGGCCTACTAAGTTTTACCTACAGTTCATATGCTCACATCTGTCCTTGCACGACCAACTAGATAGTGTGCTAGACTGGATTTGTATCTATCATGTTAGCAACATATGGTGGGATCCACACTGCTACAATATACTACGTGTAGAAATATGACGCTGCCGGAGCACGTGGGGCTGTAGCAAGAGAATTTGAGTATTTGACTGATTACCAATACTCTTACAAAGATTCGCTGTTCAGTGAAGAGGTCGTTTCTTCATTTGCCGGCGGATAATATAAAAGAACCAAAGCACTTCATGAAAGTTTTTTTAAAAAGTCGTTAAGTGGAAAAAAAGTGTTACGGGGCAACGTTCCTGCAAAGTAGTTCGATGGAAATGTGCAAGAAGAGTTTGAACTGTGTGTAAGTGTCTTTTTAAAGATGTCATTTTCCTATTGGAAAATACAGTTTCCAAAGACGCATTGGCGTTCATTTCACTGGATTATTCCAAAGTGCGAGTTATAGGACGCATGAGTACTCTCCTTATTAGAAATAACCGAAATTTCCTTAATAAAGGTCCATTTTTGTTGGTGATCAGGTGTTCTTAAGATCT